GATCCAACAAAAAACTCAAGCTTGTGGTTGTAATGTGCAGGAGGCATCAATGGCGAAGTACATTGTGAAGCAGTACATAGCGGCGGCGGGAGGGGAGGAGGCGATAAGCGGAGTGGAGAGCATGTACGCAATGGGGAAGGTGAAGATGGCGGCGTCGGAGTTCACGCCGGGGAGCGGGGAGGGCGGCGGAGAAGGGAGGGTGGCGGCGGCGGCAGGGAAGATGAAGATCTTGAGAGGGGGCGGTGGGGAAATGGGAGGGTTTGTGCTGTGGCAGCGGCGGCCGGGGCTGTGGAGCCTGGAGCTGGTGGTTTCCGGGTGCAAGATTAGCGCGGGGTGCGACGGGAAGGTGGCGTGGCGCCAAACTCCATGGCAGAACTGCCATGCTTCTCGTGGGCCCCTTCGTCGCTCTTTACAGGTTGGTCCCTCTTTTTTCCTCTTTTTCGACTTTTTCTTTTTTTGCCATTTTTTTCAAACGTCTTTTATGCTGGATTTAGCCGTTTTTTTTCTAATCCTCATTAACAAGAATAAGGAATATCAACTGATTGACTGTTTATTTGGGAAGATTTATTAGGCCCCTTTATTAGTACCATTAATCGCTTTATATATCTGTTTTTATTTCTTTAATAAAGGATTGGAAATCACACCCACAAAAGTAAAAACAAAAAATATAAAGAATATTTATACGGAGTATTATTCAAATCTTTGATTAAAGTTAAATAAATGTGTTTTTTTTAGAAAACCACTCTTTCAAAACACATTTACAGCTCCGGAGAAACAAATGTTTCCCCATTCTACTTTCTAAAGATGAATTTTTCCTACTGTTAATCTCAGAATTTTATTAAAGGATATTTGTCCATTTTTTATTTTTTTCGATCAAAATTGCTAAACTTTGACTTTAAATTAAATAAAATGATACTCCCTCCGTCCCAAATAGATTTACACCTTTTAAAAAAATTGCGTCCCACAATCTCATATCCATTTCTATTAAAAAACCACTTTTACCCCTTACTTTTTCAAACCCTACCTATCACATCATACCTTTTTCCTAATAATCTACACATCACATCCTACTTTTACCCATCACATCAAGGATATTTTTGGAAAGACAACACAAAATTATCCCTCCTTTAATTTCAATTTTAGTCAAAATGGGTAACACTTTATGGGACGGATGGAGTATAACATATTGATACAAAAACAAATTATTGAAAAAAGTCAAAACTGGATAAATACTTAGAAACGAAGGTAGTAATCCTGATACTACGGACCTGTTTGGGAATAGCGTTAGAGATTAGTGTTAGCGTTTTGGATAAAATTTTAATGGTGCAGATTAATTTGAAAACGCTAACGCTAAAAGCTGCCCGTAGATAACCTTTTCAAAACGCTAACGCTAATCGCTAAAGCTATTCCCAAACAGGCCTTACATAACTAAACTCACAAGATTAAAACGAGAAATCTCTTATTACTTAAGGCCCCGTTTGGCATCAGCGTCAGAGATTAGCGTTAGCGTTTTGAAAAAGCTATCCGACGGTAGCTTTTAGCGTTAGCGTTTTCAGAATTAATCTGCACTGTTAAAATTTTATCCAAAACTCTAACGCTAATTGAAAAAGCTGTTACCAAACAAAGCCTAAATTTATTTGCTTTAGTAGATGAAAAGGACAATATAACTTCTCAAAGTCTTCTTATGAATAAGCCAACCATTAAGTGCGTTCATACTTGTCATTTTCGGAAGGTTTATTTATGGACAGGAGCAGTTACGTACGTGGTACATTTAAATGGGAACAAGATTTGGATTATTTATTTATTTATATATATTACCAGGCCATTAGTATATTTTAATTGACATCTTTGTGTCCCTTGGAGAAGTAATTTAGTGGTTGTAATTTGTAAAACGGCCCTAAAACCAAACTAATTTTGTTGACTTTCAGGATTTATTTTAATGATATAAATCGTTCTGATAAAAAAATTATCTTTAATGAACATATATTATATCTTAATCGAGTCAATAATATTTTTTTAAAAAATATCCTCAAATATATTGTAATGTACCATTGTCCGCTAAATAAAGTATTGGCTCGATACTATCCACAGCACATAGATTTCAATATCGTCAATGCTGAAGGCCAAACCTCACTTTTGGTTAGAATTGTTTAACTATCGTTATGATCTAGAAATTATAAATTTTGGTGTACAAATAGTTAATCCGTTTGATATTACGGAAAATTTTTTTTGTCGTCTTGTCCTAATGGAGATTATACTCTGTATTAGTGTTTCTAAACCTTAATTTTTTTTCTAAAAAATTTGCTCCATATAGGACTAAAAGGAGGTGCATTTTCTTGAATAGGACCAAGTATGTTTTATTCCTTTTATGACACATAATTTTATATGATCTGCCATATATGCCTTCTTTAGAAACAAGTGTTGGATAATAACTGATTATATGATCTGCCATAATGAGTGAATGACTATTCAAATTATTTTTAATAATGCCTTATTTTACTTGAATTGCATAGTTGGTCATTTTTTTCAAAGACAATGTATTTTAAAACTTTCCATTGCCAAATATTAGGTCCTATTTAGGCAAAACCGATATGTTAAAGTCTTTTTTTTCTAATGTGGGATCAGCCTCCAAATATTCATCAACGACTTTGTTAGTTAGCAATGTACTGATAAACATAAATTTACGGCTGGAAACTTCCTATTTTTTGCATTTTTTTATTGTTAATTATTCTAACATTGAATATGAACAGAGATTATGCATAAATTCTAACTACTCCCTATTTTGATCACCAAAGTCAATCCAAATCTTGGCTTTATCTCAAAGTCTAGATTGTGTTTTCCTCAACAAGTCAGCATATTCACATGGCTTTGGAAAACAAATTCCTAAACCAAAAATGTTTGGCTGCTTGTCTCCATCTGCCGTCTGGTTGTAAACTTGGAGTGAATTATATTAAAAGATTAAATCTAATCAATGTGACTCGAAGAGCAAATAATTGTCTTTGTGAAAAATTGCCTTCCAAAAATACCCATATCCTTATTGTACCCACATGTAGTTTAACAAATGATTGTGTTCACAATGGAAATGGCAGGGGCTTGACCCAAGATCAACGGCGAATCTATTCTCAGACGCCATCTGCACGGGGGAGAAGACGGTGAACGGGGAAGACTGCTTCGTGTTGAAGCTAGAAGCCGAAGCCCAGAGCTTAAAAGCTAGAAGCTCAAGCAATGTGGAAATGATAAAGCACACACTTTGGGGGTATTTTAGTCAAAGAACAGCCATGCTAGTGCAGCTAGAAGACACCCACCTGCTCAAGATCAAGTCCTCCGAGAACGACTACGTGTATTGGGAGACGACAATGGAGTCGTCGGTCAAAGACTACCGCGCGGTCAACGGGGTCAACATCGCCCATTCGGGCAGGACGTCCGTCTCCCTCTTCAGGTTCGGGGAAAACGAGGACGCGAGCACCCGAACCCGAATGGAGGAGGTTTGGAGCATCGAGGAAGTGGACTTTAACATTAAGGGCCTCTCGAACGACTGTTTCTTGCCCCCGAGTGACTTGAAGGACGAACGCCACGTGGGCCCCACGAAGAAAGACGCTACGGTGGAGAGTTGGATGGGGATGAAACTCAAATCGAGTAACAACGGCAGTAAGGCGAACTCGGGGAAAGGGGTGAGGATTGTGGCCATTGATGAGTATGATGTGGAGGATTGAAGAGGTGAGGGCTAGTAAATATATATAGTGAAATTTGCACTAAATAGGACTAAAACATAATGACTTTCCTAATATAGGACTTAAACTTTTTTATTCTCTAAATAGAACTTAATAATGTCTTCGTGGAAGGAATAATACCCAGCAATGATAGACATTACTTGAATAATGACTAAAGAATAATGACCAAAGGTCCTACATTCGGAAATAAAAATATATGGTCCTATTTTGGGAAATTCATTATGTTTTAGTCCTATTAAGATAAATTACTCATATATATATACCTATGTATAAGTGACACATAACAAGCTGAGTTTATGTCATTTTGGATTCTTGATGTACTTATTATATGCTCTGGTCATTTTTGTATATAAAGACCATAGGGAGAGTATGTCATGATTTTACATATATTTGAAAACTTAATTAGTGACATATATCATAGGAAATATTAAATGATTAGATGTGTGTTGTGATGGTGTTAAACTATCACAAAAGTTCTTACTTGTTTCCAACAAACTAATATTAATATTATTATTGTTTTCAAGTGATGTACTTTATGAATGAGGTGTATTTGTTTAGTGACTACCTTAATCTAACATGATTTTTAACAACATTTCACATTATATATCATATTGTATCATGCTTTTTTGTTATTGTGGATAAACATTTTCTTACTGTCTCATATTCCATATTTTTCTTTATGACCCGTCCAGTTCCAGTTGTCATATACTACCTCCGTCCCAGAGTATTTGTCCACTTTCATTTTTATACATCATCCAATACACTTCTTTAATCCATTTTATCTTGTAATTTGTAAATTAAAACTTTGTAACCGTAGTAGATATTTGTAGATGAAGGAGAAATGTATGATTATTGAACAGAGATTTCTTCACACACTTTCACAAATAAACAAAATTATTACAAACTTGTAAGCATTTCAAACACAAATTTTCAAACTCTGAAACTCAAATTCATCACAAAGCATCCATATCATCCATTTCTCAATCAGCTATGAATTAACGTTCTAACCGGAGATCTCAATGGATTTGATCTCCGGCTTCTTCACCTCCTCCTTGGAAACCGTCACGGTGAGCACTCCGTTCTCCATCGACGCCTTCACCTGCTCCAATTTCGCGTTCTCCGGCAGCCGGAACCGCCGCAGGAACTTGCCGCTGCTCCGCTCCACGCGGTGCCACTTGTCGCTCTTCTCCTCCTTCTCGCTCCTCCTCTCGCCGCTGATCTGCAGAATCCTCCCCTCCTCCACCTCCACCTTCACCTCCTCCTTCTTCAGCCCCGGCAGATCCGCCTTGAACACGTGGCTCCCCGGCGTCTCCTTCCAGTCGATCCGCGCGTTCGCAAACGCCGACGTCTCGCTCGGCGCGCCGACGGCGTTTGAGAACGTGAATCCCTGGAAGGGGTCCCATAAATCGAGAGAGAACGGGTCGGAAACGCGGCTCCGGGAGCGACCTCCGAGGAAGCTTGGAATCAGAGACATTTGATCAAAAACAAAATGAGAATTAATTGTTAGATTGATTGGGTGGTGTTGATACTCCGAGCAGATATTTTATTTTCCGATGAGAAAACGGAGGAGCAGAGATGGCGATTATATACGGAAGAGGCGATGGTGCCTGAACCTTCGAGGAGCTTCCACACAGCTCGTAAAAGCTTCCATTCTTCAGCCGTTTGCAACTTTGTAATGCAAGGTTCCAGAAAATTCCTGATTTTTAAAACTCATACCTCTGTCCCAACAAATAAGATCATGGTGAATTATTTAAAATTTCTCAAGAATTTTCTTATTTGTGTATTTTATTTGAGTATTTAATAAAATAAAAAAATCATTTCTTATTTCTTGTAACATTAGATAGCAATTTTTAAATACCCGGTATGTAAGTTTTTTTAAAAAACTATATTAGATTTAAATAAAGTATATTTATAATTTTAAATTTTTACTTCATTTTTTCATTTCGTGACATTCTTTTTTAAACAAAGTAAAATTTGCATTAAATAAAACTAAAACATACTCCCTCCGTCTAAGATTATTTGTCTACTTTCATTTTTACACACCATTCAATGCACTTCTTTAATCTATTTTATCTTGTAATTTGTATATTAAAAAATTATAGAAATTATATATTAATAATCTACTCCCTCCGTCCCAGAGTATATATTTGTCCACTTTCATTTTTACACACCATCCAATTCACTTCTTTAATCCATTTTATCTTGTAATTTGTATATTAAAAAATTATAGAAATTATATATTAATAATCTATATGTTAAGACAAATCAAACAAGATCACACATGACTATATTTAGGCTTACACATTAAGAGATTTTGATGAGTCAAAGTGCTTAGATGAACAGTTCCAAAAGTCAAAAGTGGACGAATATAGCGGGGCGGAAGGAGTATATGTTAAGACGAATCAAACAAGATCACACATGACTATATTTAGGCTTACACATTGAGAGTATTTGATGAGTCAAAGTGCTTAGATGAACAGTTCCAAAAGTCAAAAGTGGACAAAAACTGGGGGACGGAGTGAGTAAATCAAATCCAATGTGTATGACTTAAACTTTTTTATTCCCTAAATAAAACTTAATAATGATTAGTGTGAAAAATAATGTCCAAGTAATGCTGGAAATTTAGTTGAATAATGACTAATAGATAATGACCAATGGTCCTACATTTGGAAATAAAAACATATGATAATATATTGAGAAAGTCAATATGTTTTAGTTCTATTTAGGTAAATTAACCTCAAAAAAATTAGGCTTGAAATCATTTTTTACTTTGACCATTTGAAGGACTATTTTGAATTTAATAAAAACTTATTATCAAGATAAAATTTAATACTCCCTCCGTCCGGAAATGTTCTTCTCATTTGACTTTTTACGGTCTCCAAGAGACCAAGACTGCACTTAGACCACTAATATCTTTATTTATACATGGATATATTTTATAAAAATTTGATATTTGAAAACTATATTTCAAAATGAATATATTCATATTAAAGTTATATCGTAATACAATATATTCTTTCCATATACCATAGTCAAAGTTTACAAACTTTGACCTAGAAAAGTCAAATGAGAAGAATATTTTCGGACGGAGGGAGTATTTGTCAAAGTAAAAGAATTTCAATCCTAACATCTAAACGGGAAGAATGTATTCTCGAATGATAATATCACAAACTTTAAAGACTTCAGAGTATATTTCGAGTAATGTAAGACATGAGAGTTCTTACCAAAAACTTAAAGATATCTCATGGTATCTTTCACATAATATGGAAGTAATTACTACAAAACCGTGAATATTTCGAAATAAGTTTTGAGATTTTATATAGTACTTGGAGAGTTGGAGGGCGTGTGTCTAAAAATAATTGAAATTTTACATCGCGATTGCAGACGAATTACTTTACTAAATTTTTTAGAATTGTTCTTCTACGATCTTAAGGTTCACACTTGAAATGTAGAGTCTCACACTTTTACTAAACTGACAAATAGATCTTTTCTTTTTTGTAAAACACTCTATTCTTTTATAATATTAATACACCAAAGTTCATAAAATAAGAAAAGGTTTTAAAACTACGTAAAAACTTGAAATTTTTTATTGTAATTATAGGTTTTTCAAATATTGTAGGGTTCTGGGTTTCATTCTATTATATGTTTTGATTTTGTCAATTTGTACTTTGAAAATACATTACATCAATTTAGGTGTTAGGATTGAAATCCTTTTACTTTGACAAAATGAAGGATTATTTTAAATTTAATACGGAGTAAAAATCTCTCTCCGTCCCAAAAAGATTTACATCTTTCAAAAAAATTGCGTCCCACAATCTCCTACACATTTCTATTAAAAAACCACTTTTACCTCTTATTTTTTCAAACCCTAGCTATCACATCATATCTTTTTCCTAATAATCTACACATCACATCCTACTTTTACCCATCACATCAAAGATATTTTTGGAAAGTCAACACAAAATTATCCCTCCCTTAATTTCAACTTTAGTCAAAACATGTAAATCTTTTTAGGACGGAGGTAGTAATTATTATCAAGATAAAATTTATTATTCGTCAGAGTAAAGAATTTCAATTCTTACGCCTAAATGGACAGAATGTAACTCGAATGATAATATCATAAGTTTTAAGAACCTCAGAGTATATTTCGGGTAATGTAAAACAAAAGTTTCTTACCAAAAACGAGAGTACCTAATGAACTCATGGCATCTTTCACATAATATGAAAGTTATTACCAGAAAAACGACGTTACTCTGAAAATAATTGGAGGGCGTGTGTCGTTTTTGTTATACTTGGAGGGCGTGTGTCGTTTTTGTATATTTAGCCGTTGTTTAGAAATGACATTTTCAATTGGTATTAGTGTTTTGAATTATCTAACAAAGATTCGGAATAATTTAGCAATGTTTTGATTAATTTCAACTTTCTATAAATTGGTATAAAAATAAAAAGTTTAAATAATATTGTTCAAAAATTTCTTAAAATTTTACAAGGGACAAGAATATCTTAATTTATCAAATTATGAATGAAAAACACACAAAGAAATGAAAGTTCATACTTCCTCCGTCCCACAAAAAATTCCCATTTTGAATAGTATTTAGTCAAACATTTCCATACTTTGACTACAAATTGTGAGAAAGATATATTGAATTATAAAATAAATTTAATATAGTTAGATTCATCTTAGGATCTAATTTTGATATCTCAATTTTTTTTAGCATTTCTTTATTTATATTATTTTTAATTTATGGTCAAAACTTATAATTATTTGACCAATTTATGGTCAAAATGAGAACTTTTTTGTAGGACGAAAGAAGTAAGATTTAACCAACAAAATCAAATGAAAAAATTAAATTTAACAGGAAAAGAAACAAAATGATTTATTGAGAAATATTACAGGATATCATTTTCAATTTTCAAACACATACATGCATATTGCATTCTTAATTAAGATAACAAACCATTCCTAATTCCTTATTATTCGCCCAAAAACACACAGAAATCTCATGAATATATCACACCGGCCGTCTAGCCGGAGATCTCAATGGATTTGATCTCCGGCTTCTTCACCTCCTCCTTGGGAACCGTCACGGTGAGCACTCCGTCCTCCATCGACGCCTTCACCTGCTCCAATTTCGCGTTCTCCGGCAGCCGGAACCGCCGCAGGAACTTGCCGCTGCTCCGCTCCACGCGGTGCCACTTGTCGCTCTTCTCCTCCTTCTCGCTCCTCCTCTCCCCGCTGATCTGCAAAATCCTCCCTTCCTCCACCTCCACCTTCACCTCCTCCTTCTTCAGCCCCGGCAGATCCGCCTTGAACACGTGGCTCTCCGGCGTCTCCTTCCAGTCTATCCGCGCGTTCGCGAACGCCGACGTCTCGCTCGGCGTGCTGACGGCATTTGAGAACGGGAATCCCTGGAAGGGGTCCCAGAAATCGAGAGAGAACGGGTCGGAAACGTGGTTCCGGCGACCTCCGAAGATGCTTGGAATCAGAGACATTTTACTAATTGGAAATCGAATTTCCGATGAATGATGATTTAGAGGATTGTAATGAACAATTGAGAACTGCTGGTGTTAAATTTCTTTCCGATGCATTTACAGGGATCCATGAATGGCGATTTTATAGCGGAGGAAGGAGGAAGACGATGGAACCAGAACTTTCGCGGAGCTTCCATGGAACGATTTCTCAAGTCTTCCATTTGTTCTTTAGAGACTACAACGTTCCGGATAAGTCACTTTGGGCCGGAATGGGTTTGAGGTTTTTTAGTATAATACGGGCGTCATGTCGATAAGAATTTAGCAAATGAATGCAGCCCAAGCTGAAGAAGGATGATGGGCCAGGTTATTGGTTTTGGTATTGTTGGGATAAAGGCCCAATTGGATTAGTGCAGGAGCCCAAGATGAAAGAGCCTCCCCCAAAGGCCCAGACGATGTCCTCGCCATGCGCACCTCCCACACGCACCGGCCCGTCGGATCCTTGGGGTCGGGCTTACCCACGCCCGATGGACGGTCGGGGGAGACTTGGAAAACTCAACGATTGTTCGTTTAACCCAAGGAGTATCGAACAGGTGCTGCTCGGGGTCGGGCCATCAACTCAATAACCAACCACCAATTATGACGATCGTACACTCATTTATTGCGGAGGGGACATCTAATGCATGCGCCAGCTGCCGGCAATCACGGCATAGTGATCTTAACTGTAGACCCATGCCAACGTTCCCCGCCAACATGATTCCCGCCAAAATTCTCTATAAATAGATGGAAGCGGAGTGAAGAAGAGGACGGCTGGCTAGAGAGAGAATGAACGCCGAGAGAAAAACATAATATCGTTGCTATAGAGCTAGACATCCATTTTCTCTTTTCTTATAATTTTTGCACTTTTTATATATTTATTTAGGGCTTATTTTATTCACTTGTTTTATTTAATTGTTTACAATAAAGATTAAAAACAAACAAAAAAGTTAACAAACAAAAAAAATTCAAATAAAACAAACAAAAAAAATTAAGAGGTATGGTTTGATTTTTTTTGTTCAATTAAATTGATTAAATATACTCCCTCCGTCCCCCTAAGATGTTCTCATTTTGACTTTTGGTGGTTTTTAAGAAGAGTTGAAAAAAGGTGAAAGTTTACTATAATACCCTTAATGAAAATGAGTGGAGTGTATTAAATGAGGTGTGTGAGATGTAATAAATAAAGTAAGTGGGGGTAGTTGTGGTATTTTAATTGTTAAAAAGTGAAATGAGAAGATCTATTGTGGACAAAGAAAAAGGGCTATTGAGAAGATCTATGGGGGACGGAGGGAGTAATATAATACAATTATTAACAAAAAAGATAAAAGATAAAGGAAAAAATAACGAAATAGATAAATAACGGAAAAAAGAAAGAAAAACAAAAAAGAAAGCAAAACAAAGAAAAAAAGTAAGAAATGATAAAAGGCGGAAAAGGAATAAATAATAAATTAATATTTTAAAAAGCATAGCAAACAGAAACAGAAAGAGAAAATTAAATTAGTGAAAAGATTTTTTAAAAGGAAAAAAAGAGAACAAAATGAAGGAAATTAAAATAAAAAAGGAAAGAAATGATAAAAAGTGAAAATGAATAAAAAAATGAATAAAGAGTTAAAAAACGATCAAAAGAAAAAAAAAGAAAGACGGGAAAAAATAGCGAGTAAAAAAAAAAGGAAAAGAACGAAAAAACAAAAAAAAATAAAAGAAAAGAGTGGAAACAGAAAGGAGACAACAAACTTACGAAAGGAGAGTGTATCGAAAAAGAAAAGATAACGGGAGTATTCTTTTCTTAAGAGTCAATATAAAAAAATAAAAATTTAGATTTTGTAATTTGGTCCAAAATTGCCTGATAATGGGTAAATGATTTTCTAGTAAAAAGATGGTAAAAGTTCTGATAGTTTTGAAAAAACTTTTAAAATTTTTATGAAAGTTCATGTATTATTCTTCAAACTTACTTGGATGGGTCTTTATACCATAAGTATATTCCCTTCATCCAGTCCGTCCGAAAATACTGGTTGTTGTATCCCTCTGGACATTTCGTCTCTAAAGGGGAAGCAGTAGCAGCAGCCAGAAAAACGGGTCGGATGGAGTATTCGGGTCATGTAATCATATATCCTCTTCCACTCCAGGGGCATGTAAACTCCATGCTCAAATTTGCACAGCTCTTAGATCTTTCCGGCCTCCACGTCACCTTCCTTGTCACCGCCGCCGTTGACTCTCGCCTTCGAGCTCACACCGACGTAGATTCCGGCAGCCGGTTCAGCCGCCGGTTCAGACTCCAGACTTTCCCCGCCGGAATCTATGAAGGTAAATATTACCCTAAATTCACACCCCATTTCGATTTTCAAATCTTAAATTGAAAGTAGAATCGTAGACTTGCGATTCAATAATTGGGAGATGAAACAGGTGACACCCAATCCAAGGGCGGAATAAAAGAGCTCTTGGATTCAATCGAGAAGATTGGGAAGCCATTCCTGAGGGAATTTTTAACACAGACCAGTGATTCCTGGCCGCCGTTTACATGCTTTGTTTCGGATTTACCGCTCGCCGTGGCCGCGGAGGTCTGTGCTGTTGCCGCCGCCAATTTGCCCGTTTACTATTTTCGTACTGCAAGCGCTGCCTCCTTTTGGGTTTACTTCTCATTGCCTGATCTCATCGAAGCCGGCGAGCTGCCCATTAAAGGTCTGTTTATAGAGATTCATTAATCTCTACACTTCGTGAGTTTATCTCACATTTATAATTTGCCTATTCATTGAAACAAATGGGTGAAATTTTGAATTTTCAACCAAAAGCTATTGCCAATAAGTGTTCTACTCTGTATCTTACTCCCTTGTTGTTTTTAACCTGAGTATTCCCCCTATAACTTGAGTTTTTTTGCTTCAAATTGTTACTTACTCAAATAGATACTAGTTTTTTTTTTCGAGTTCTTAGAGTTGTGGCTCTGATACCATGTAGAATTATGAGATTCTATCCCAAAACCATATAATTTCAGCATTGATAACATATATCATGAAATGTTCCTAATATGAAATTTAAACAATGTAATGCAGAGAATGGGATGGACTCACCAATAACAAAGGTGAAGGGCATGGAAGGTTTTTTAAGAGCGCGAGACCTTCCAAGATTTTTTGGAGAAGATGTCGTGACAAGCGTTTTGTCTCCTGAAACTCGGGGTGCAGTACAAGCCTGAGCGGTCATACTCAACACGTTTGAAGACCTCGAGGAGCCAGTACTGTCCCAAATAAGAACAAAATGTCCGAACGTCTTCTCAATCGGACCAATCCATGCCCATCTCAAGGCAAGACTGGCATCAAAACCGACCTCCTCCAATAGTCTTTGGCAAGAGGATCAAACATGTTTGGCTTGGCTCGACTCGCAAGAGCCCAAGTCCGTGATCTACGTGAGCTTTGGAAGCATCGCGGTCATCACAAAGCACCAATTGGTAGAATTTATGCACGGTCTCGTGAATAGTGACCAAAAGTTCCTATGGGTTGTGAAATCTGGGGAATATTCCCTCCCTCCTGAGCTAGAGGAGGGAGTGAGGACGAATGGGTACATGGTGAATTGGGCCCCTCAAGAGGCGGTGTTGGCCCATCCCGCCATTGGGGGGTTTTTGACTCATTCTGGTTGGAATTCGACATTGGAGAGCATTGTCGCGGGCGTGCCTATGATTTGTTGGCCTTTCATGGCTGACCAACAGACGAATAGCCGGTTCGTGGGTGAGGTTTGGAAGCTAGGGGTCGACATGAAGGACGTGTGTGATCGCGTCATCGTGGAGAATGTAATCCGAGACGTGATGGTTAGGAGTAAAGGCGAGTTCTTGGAGAGGGCTCAGAAAATGGCTAAGTTGGCTAAAGAAGCTGTCATTGAAGGTGGATCATCTCATTCCAATTTTGAACTTCTGGTTCAAGACATTTGTTCACTTAGAAAGCCACTTTAATCATTCACTTTGTAAGGGTATTTGTTTTGCCTCGTTTCTTTGAAACATGTCAAGAGGCTCATTTATTCACCATCTGTTCTGTAATTTCTACATGAAATAAAAATAAATGTGTGGTTGCTTTGTTTAAGAGAAGAATAATCGTTATGAACAAGAGAATGTGTGTGTGGTGGTGGATTGGTGGTGGACTGGTGGGTATGTGGGGGAAATAATAAGAGGAGAGAAAAGTTCATTTTTTTCTGGAAAAAAATGATCTTTTTTTAAAAAGAAATAATTGGTGTGGTTAAAAAAGGCTAAAATCCACCATTGGTCCTTCAACTTTATCAGTTGTGCACGATTGGTCCTTCAAGTTTCAAAAGTCCATAAATAGTCCTTCAACTTTATGAGTTCTGCACCATTGGTCCTTCAAGTTTTAAAAGTCCATAAATAGTCCTTCAGGTACACGTCAGCCTTCCATATGAAGTCTTTTTGACCGTAAATTTTAAAAGTTAAACAAAATACTAGTTTCATATAATACGAGTAAATTCCATTAGGTACGACTACTCCGTATTATATGGAGCTAGTATTCCATTTAGCTTTTAACATTTACTGTCAAAAGGACCTCATCTGGAGGGCTGACGTGTACTTGAAGGACTATTTATGCACTTTTAAAACTTGAAGGACCAATCGTGCATAACTCATAAAGTTGAAGGACTGTTTATGGACTTTTAAAACTTGAAGGACCAATCGTGCACAATTGATAAAATTGAAGGACCAATGCTGGAGTTTAGCCGGTTAAAAAATAAAGTTAAAATAAAAGAATTATTATAAATCATGTTCTTATATATGACTATGTCTTTTTTAATGAGATGAGAAATTAAGAATGAAGAAGAATTTTTAACAAAGGGTAAAGAAAGAATCGGAAAATGCACATGTAAAGGACCCAAAATCCACACAAAAGCTCATACCGACAATGGCGGCGTTCATTGCTCAAAGCAAGAATCGCCACTCACTCCGCTCCCATCTCAAGATCCACTCATACATTTATGTAAAAAAAAAAAAGAAAGAACAAATTGCCCACCCATTTCTCCTCCAAGGCTTTTGTTTCGCTCTTTCACGCTATCCCCAAAATTATTTCTCTCTTTTGGTTCTTGCTTTTACCCTTTTCTCGTAGGCATATCCTCCCAATTATTATTATTTTTTCTTTAATTTCAAGAAGTATACATATAATAAAGAAAAGATTGAATCTTGGGAATTCTTTTTGGTT